CAATAGTGGGTTTTTTCTAAAACTTCAGCACGTTTCACAATTTCTTACAGATTCATAGTATGACATTAAACTTTGGGCAAGAGAAACATGACAGACAGCAAAGAAACCAAAGGTTACAATCAAATTACTTCCACAAAGTAAAAATATTTTATCTTTATAAGGATAAACCACTTTCATTGCAGCGGGAGGGACGTATCTAAACAGGGTTATGTTTGCTTTAGGATTTAAAAAGCAGACATGATTTTTGGAATTCAGTCGTCATGAAAAATATTACCACATATATATTCATATTTATTTAATATATATGCATATAAATTAATACATTTTCTATGCTCCTCCTGCCTGCTCACCTATGAATAAAGTTTTAATAACAGGCTCTTTAAGTGCTGCATTAATTTTTCCCTTCCTTCAAGACCACCAAAGAAACCAAGATGCAAAATCCCTTCAGAGCATGCACCACAACTACATACCTAAGTGCAAATAAAACAAGCCTCAACAAAATAAAATGAATCCAGCACCATCTACAAGCCCAACTTCAACACTGTAAAGAAAGCACCTATAAAAGCCAATCATGGTAAAAACTGGGGAGGCTTGGACATTGGCCAAAAATTCAAAAGTTTGGCTGCTTATACCAAATTTTATCTTCATTACCTTAACTTTGGGAAGACTGCAAGGGTGGCCAGTGGAGCAAGGTGGACTAGCTTAGATGGCTACACTTGTGTATTTGGGTATTGTGAATAAAAACAACCAACTCAGACTCTGCCCCAAAATACAAGTGCCCTTAAAATGTGAGGTTTTTAACCCACTAGTCAAAAACAACAGCTGCAAAAGGAAAATTAACAGCTGCACATGAGAATTAACTATTCTGAAATATTTCATTGACAAAGTTCTGATCACCAAAGTGTGGAAATAATAATGAGGTAATTGTCAAAGTGGAAAAAAAAAAAAAAAAGATTTTTCCTAAGTGACCTGCTGCTGAGCCCAGTCAGACCAAGGTTATTTTATTCTGCCTTACTTTGGAATATTCAGTGTTGTGGTTCTTGATCTTCCAGTGGAAGAATCTGTCATGTTTTTCCTCTTGTGCTTGTGCCTGGTTTACACAGTGAGGAGACAAGTGGGATGCTCATGAGTTTGAGGGAGACCTCAAGGTTGACCTCAACTGTTTGTTGTAGAAGTTCAAGCCCTACAGGAGTCATGTATCAGCTTTGCCACCATCCCAGAGAAATTAAATAAAAGCAGCACCTTCCATGGAGAAACTGTCAAAGATCCTTTCCCAGGTGCCCAAAGCATTCCTTAATAATTATTTCCATTTATTTGTGTTCTGTCTACACAAAAATCTTCTGAGCAGGGAAAATTTAGGACTAAGCTGATAACATTCCAAAACAGAAGAGTGTAAATTCTTTTTATATTAAAGTAAGGGCAAGCTGACATGGAGAACACTAGACAGATCATGTCTAGTTTGCTAAAATTGTTCAGCTGAACCTACAAAAAAATTTGTGCACAAGCAGCAGATTTAGGCACTGCTGATCAGCAGATACACAATGATCTGAGCAAGGGAGTTCAGGGGGTAGCTCAGCTGGAGCCTCTCTCCTCTAAACACCTTCCTTCTCCTCCTGGAGTGATGTTTCAGATTTGTTTTCACCTCAGCTTGACATGCAGTTGCTGCCATTTCATTTGCAGATCTGAAGAAATCATGTCAGTACAAGAAAGGCAAGAGTTTCTTTGGAGTTTTTTTGTTTTGTAGATTAATTAAATACTTATGGAAATGAGAGCTAAACAGAACTGGTTTGAGCCAGTTATTGACTGTGACTATCTGAATCTCACTACAGGTTCTGATATATTACATCTTCTCTTCTTCCAGGTCTGGTTACAGAATGAGGATCAGCCACCACACTTCAGTGGCATTTTATTGGGTTCAGACCCAGTTCATCTACTCAAAATTAACATTTTACTTTATCTTCGTCAACACCCATTGCAGCTGCTGCCCCATTTAAAAGAGGGCATTTATGTTTCTTAATTGTGTTTCTCCTCTCATTTCTTTGTGCTCTGATGCACTCTGCAAAGGCAGGTTGGGAGGAGATGAAGGTGAGAATGCTCTGACACTGCCAAAGCAGGATTTTAGTAACGAGTACGTCCCTCATAGTGATTTCAGAAGTCCAGCACAGGCTGGAGGAAGGAAGGTGTTCCACAGTCCATGTTATGGTGAAAACTTAACTTTTATGTTTCGGCAGGGGATCACCAAGTGCCTGTGTCACATCTCAGCCAGAAGTTTTCAGTCTCGAGCCCTGGATTGGATCCAGATTGTGTGGTTGCATTCTTCCACGTCCAGTTCCTCTCACGGATCCAGTTGGATACTGCCTTTGTCCCTTTCTCCCCCAGTCTGCAAGGCTGGGTTATGTGCTCTCTGACACACCTACTGCTTTCACTGCAGAGGGGAGATATTTCAGAACTGAAAGCATCATTATGGATTTGAGAAATCCAGGCTTCTGAACCATTCCAGGTTTCTCAACATGTGGCCCATCACTAAGCCTTTCCCCAGAAGAAATGGAGCTAACAACACGTTATTTTAAAGTTGTGTTATAGACATAAACACATGGAAACCTGTGAGGCACTTAGATATTACAGTAATCAAAGTCATATGAGGACCAAAGATTGACAGATCACATCTCCATCAAAAAATTTGCAAAGAAGAAAAGAAGTAAGAAAAACTTGCAAAGCATCTGGATGAAGAAAAGTCCAGAAATACACAGATATTGATACAAGATTCTCGTGCCAATATTTCTGTCCGATAGGAATTAAGATTAATTATCAATCACAAATATTGAAGAGAGCTATAAAATGTAAAATGAAACCATATTATTATAATTTTAGTTCTTTATTTTCCTTATTTATCTTTCCATCTCTCACTACTAATCTATCTTGTTTAAGAAAAACAGTATATAAGTATAGTGGAGCTTGATTACTGAGAATGGCTATTAATGTAGTGTCTCAGAGCACTCTCTAGACAGTTGAAAAGCTTTTAACAGTAAAATATGAAGATTTCCTTCAAATTTGCAGCCATCTGCCTTCTAAAACTTTGTTTCAGTAGTTGCCAAGATTTCAGTGATTTATAGAAGCCAAAGTATCTGATTTTTGTCTCCCCACAAGAGATGAGAACTATTTTTTCTTATTATTTTGTAAGGGCAACATCATTATCTCAAGCAAAAAAAGAAAAAAAGTTGAGCTACATTAAAGATACAGCTTTCAAAGTAATTTTTAAGGCATCTGGCCTTATTTAAACCATCAAATTTACATTCAATTCCTTAAGGGTTGGCTTTGCTGCTTTCTGCTGGCTCTGTGCCCTCTGAATAAACCTGGATTTAATGCATGCCACCACTGCATTTCCCTGGCTGCACTGCTGCCTGAGGTAGATATATAGCAGAGGTATAAAAAGTAGAGGTAAAAAAACCCAACTTTGGACAAGATGATTCATTCAGGCAAGAACACCCCCAACCCTGTAACTGTTTAAGTTTCAGCTAGGGTTGGACTCGTGACTAATGTCATTATCTATTTATTCTGAATTTATGATTACAAGTGTTTATGTAGCATGAAACATTCTCTAGGAGCTGGACGGGAAACTATAAACCATTTTATGAGATCTACACACAGCTGATGGCAGAACCTTAATGCAACAAAAAGGTTCAGCCACACCCAAGGAATGCCAAAACACATTTTTTCTACTTCCCCCCTTCAGTGAGATGGACACTTGACAAAGAGAAGGGTGCCCTGAAAACCCAGGGGTGGCACATTTTGGAGGGTCCTGAGTGTCTCTGCAGAAACATCCGGAGCACTGTCAGCTTCTCCCAAATTTCCAGACAAAGAGAGAAGTCTTTAAAGCATTTGATTTTCTCAGAGGAAAGACTGACAGAGGATGCACCTGGAAATGAGATGAAGCTCAACTAGAAATTTGTGTTGTGGCTCCCTCACCTCTGATGAGTTTTAAGCTGAATTATTATCCCTGTTTTGTGGATGGCTGGAAGAAAAACTGAAAAACCAGATAGTATAACCACAGAACAAGGCAGGCACTGAGCTGAGAGCAAAAGTCACACTCCCTTATATGATGTACAGTCACATTCCTACTGAAACTGAAGTTCCCCTTCTTCAGATAACTAACGTGAAGTAATCAACACAACCTGATTCAGTACCTATAAATCCTGGCTAAGAATAGAAATGATCTGCAAGTTGAAATTACAGAAGTGTAAAGCTATTCATATGCAGCAGTTAACTGAATCTCAAGCTGAATTTCATATATATAATAAAAATGTGTAGTACCACCCTAAGCATACATCTCTGTTTCTGCACATGGGAAGTGGTGCTAAGAAACACTCCAAGTGCAACACAAATATTAATGGTTGCATTTTTGTTTTAAACAGAGTTAAACTCTGAAATGAGAAAAAAAAGTGATTACTTCCCAAAAGAAGAATAAACTGGGTTAAACCAAGATAGGGAGACATAACATACCTTTTCTGACTCTAAATTCAGCTCCCTGACTTGTGCAGAGAAGTGAAAGGTTTTTATATGGGTTTACTGGGCAAACCCAGATTTTATAAATAATTGCCTGTCAGGCTGTTCAAGATAGACAAACACACAGCAGACCAACAAAAACATGATCTGTCATATTTCTGAGAGAAATGTATGTTGAGTCTTCATTCTCTGGGACTTTAAGGAGACCAGTAAAAAATAAGTGCCAGTATTTTTCCTGCTTATGCATATTTTAAAATGTAAAATCTGGGAGAGAGACAGCAACAGAAGGAATTTTGATTCCAGTACCCAGAGCCTGAAATGGTTTCTTCTTTCTGTATCCCTGCAGATCGAAACTAAATACAATAAATGCTGGTGTCCTTTTAAAAAAGTCTGAATGTTTACAGCAAGCATATAATTTTCCATGATTAAGGATGCCAACAAAAATAAAGAGTGATGATAAAAAGAAAAGTTTAATCATATATTTCAAAAAGCACAAATGGAACATCAGAAAACTTCCCCTTTGCCTCATTTAATACATTGTACACATTGCTTTTAGTCCTTCACACACAGAAAATTTCCAGAAAACAGAAATGTAAGCAGATAAAAGAAAAAAACAATTTATGAATGGCAGCAATATTGGACATACTACGTTCACTTTTACAATATTTTGGTGGCAAAGAGACATTTTTCCATTTATTTAAAAAATATACATATTTTTAAAGTTTTTGCAAGCAGGTCCAGGAGAGCAGGTCAACAAAACCACCTACAAATGACCACAAGAGCACAGAGCAGGAGTGAAAATTAAGACCTCACATACTAAGCACAAAGGAGGAGGATGGCTGCACTACATAAAATACTTTGCTGTTCTTTTCTTGATCCCTTGAGTGCTCCGTATTAACTTGAGGCTTAAGCTGGATTCCAAGCCTGAGCTCTGGGCAGCTGAAGAAGACCCCTGACCTGTGGGTACCACAGGGACACCAGCAGGATGTGCCAGCAGATCCTGGTGACAGGCTGAAGCAGGAGCCTTTGCTCAAGCATCATCATGGTTAGCTCTATATTTGTACAGTTTTTATGGGAAAAAAATGAATGTGTTTGTGAGGCCAGCGAAGGCTGGAGGAGCAAAGGGACAGGAACAAGCAGAGAGGCAGGGATTGAGATTTAAAAAAAAAAAAATCTTGAAAACAAATAATGTTAGCTAAAATATATATATGTACATTAAAAAAAGGCAAAATGAGCTGGTTTCTTTAACCAAATCCAACAGTAATGCTGCCTTTGTCAACAACAGGGACAACATCTGCTTCCTGCAACAAATGCTGAGCAAGTACACAATGTTAAGCCCTTGCCTACAACCACCGAGACAGACACAGTTATTGAAACACTTTAGAATGTATTTTTCCAAATAGGGGCTCAATCCAGTGCCAAGTCACTGCAAAGGCTTTCTTTCATATTGGACAATGATGGCTCAAACCTTAGGAGATGCCAATATTGAAAATTTGGGTGTGAGCACTTAGCCCATCTTTGGGCCTTCTAAAAACCAAGTCTCTAACTGGTGGAGTTTAGTTTACCTGAACTTTTCCTGAGTAACTTTGCATCCAAACTTGGTATGTCTATCATCAAATTTGCCTCACTGCATTAAACTGGTTTATACTGTGAAAACTTATATTAATTAAGACAAACAAGTGGGAATTAGTAGAAAATAGAGGGGAAAAGTTTTTCTTTTTGTAAAAATTGCAAAGAAAACTACATAACCTTTATACAACCTAATAAACCAACACAACCCAGTCTATCTCTGGCCTCTTCCTGCCCTATCCAGCTTTACAAAAAAACATCTTTTGGAGAACATACAGACTTCCAGACACTTAAATAAAAATGACATGGCAGTCAGAAAGTCCCCTGCAAACTCCAGCATTGTCTGAGCTGCATTCTTGTCCACCTACACCCTATCCCAAACATCCTGCCATTAATTAGCTAAATGTTCCAGCTAGTAAACAAGAATAACGATTGAGGGGGCTGGAAAAAGAGACAGAGACAGCCAGCAGATAGTCACAACAAACCAGCCCACTCACTGGTACATGGAGACATTGGAGCTTGTATTTTTTTTCCTTCCATGGAGGGGAAAAGAAAATCACCTTAATAATACTGTCTTTCCTGTTGCTGCAGCCACATCCACATCAGCAGGCGAGAAAAGTCATCCCATTCCTGCGGTAGGCACTCTGTCAGGGAAAGAGAAAATCTGCAGTGAATTATCACATCAGCTTAAACAAGGGAAGGAGGCAGAGAGAAAGGCAAGGCTTTCTTCCTGTTTTGTAGGCTATTCTGGCTGCATCTAATAGTGTGCTTAATCTGAACATTTCTGGTGGGGAGCTGTAAGCAACCACTTTGTCTATTAAAAAATCAGTGTGGTTAACAAGTGGTTAGTGACTATTTCAGGAGAGCAAGAGATAGGCGAAAATGCAACATCCTCCTTTGTTAATTGCCTGCAAAATAGATGAGGCCAAAAATACACCATTATGCTGAATCTATTTGTCCTTTATAAGCATGTATTCTCTATTCATTGTGTTCAAGAAACATTTCTAAACTGCCTGAATACTATATAAATTATTGAATAATTACAGTTTTCCAAATTTAATTTACAGTCTGAGTCTAAAGTTATATAAACAGACACTGGTATAATCCCCAACACTCCAAATTAATTTTAAAGACTCTCTGGTCAGTAGGAAAAAATTAGATATCCCACATATTGGGATGTGTTTCCAATGATAGAGAAGCACAAGAGTTAAGTGGCACTTGAGAAAATAATTTTAAAAGATCCTGTGACACTGCCTCCTAAAATACCTTTCATGCATTTTTAAAAGCTCTTTCCAAATCAATATAGGAAACTATACCTTTTAATGCCACTAAAAACCCTATAATATAAGGAGATATTCTCAGTTTAAAAAGTACTTTTTTTTTTTTCTATTAACAATATCTTTAAAAAACAAAAGGAATTTAAATAGTTTTGCTTTATTTGGTTCACCTTCAGCAGCCATCCTGTTTTAAAAATGAAAATGTAGTCATCTATTTCATTACAGTTAGTGCTTCGTCAGATTTATTTTGTACCTCTTCAGTCAAAGTACTTAGGAAGTGCCATATATAACGACCATTTTTAGTGGTTCTACCAATTTCCTAATTAATTTCAGCCAGATCAAGTTCTCCTCTCTTAAACTACAATTAGAGTAACATTAGGAGTAAAGGATAACCTCAAACAACTTTGGATATAAATAGCATTTATACTGAACTGTAAAGAAACCATTTCAAAACCAGCAAGGATGTATTCTGAGAGACATTTTACAGACAGTGAATATGCAAAAGGAAATATGTACAAGATGTTCATTACAGCATCCTTTACATTAACACCACACTTCAGTCTGGAGATCTAGCAGCATATGGCATTGAAGTCAAAGAGCAGAACATCAGCTCTGGGATATACAGCCAAGACATGACAGTATCACCACAAACAAAACACAAAATAAATCCAAAGACTCTATACCCAAACATGAAATGCCCAAGACAGACTAGCCAATAATTTTGAAAGGATGCAGTATATTCCCACAACCACAAGCAGAAAGTCCAAGGCAATTTGGACGTTTAGCTTGCCCAAACCATTATGGCTGGCATTTGGAAATTGATGCAAAAGTAATGCTTTTAGCTGCTTGACCCCAATAGTTTCACAGGACTTTATAACCAAATGAAAACCTTTAACACATAAACAAAATATTCAGGACTACTGCACAGTTTGCTTGGAGCCAAATGATCCTGAGTACAAAGCTGGATCTAAATGAAAGATAAAAGGTTGAATTTTGCAAAAGGAATTTTGGTTGTGAAGCAAAGTTGGGCTTGGCCGGGCTCACCTGGGAAATAATGAAGTTTAACATTTTCCAACATGGGCAGTGTTGTACAGTCAGTTACATCCCTGCAAAGGTCATTTCAGAAGCCAGTTCATGGCAGCCAGGATATCACCTTTGGAGAGCTGGGCACACCCACTGGTCTATATTTAGTGATATATTATAACAAGTGTGGCTATAGTTAGGATTGAAAACTATTTCCTACTTCACTCCCCCTTTCACATACTTTAAACTTTCTAAAACATTTGCCCTTGGGCTGAAATTTCCTCTGCTTTAATCTCTGCCTGAAGTTCACTTTCTTTGGAAACGACCAAAAAAATTCCTGAAGCCATTATGAAGTTCAGCAATAATGAAAACAACACATTTTTTCCTTCCCAAGCCAAAGTGATTCTGATATATGTATGTTTTGTTATGGAATTTAGCCATAAATTGAACCATTTTACCCAGAAACCATTCGTACCTTCAACCTCAGCATAAAGGTAACTGTTTTGAAAATCAGTATTTCAGAGGAGGGAGTTTGATTCATCCCATTCCATAACAAGGTAACACTTCGTTCTCATTTTGATACATTACTAGATAATAAAGGTTAACCTCCAAAACACTTTTATGCAGAGCAAAACTATTTTACAGACATCCCATCTTTCTGAGTTATACCAGATATCTTTAAGATCTATACAGCTGAATTTGTGATACTGAAAGACAGATCTTTACATGCCAAGAATCATGAAGAGAAACAGCAAGATGTTTCTCATAAAACTCACATGTGCATGTGCCCTTGCAAGAGTTTAGATGTATGTGGCAGACATTTAATGTGGCTGGAGATAATTTAGAGGGTTTGGATGACACTTCTGGGTGCTTTATGCCACTTTGGCAGCACCCACATTTAATTTTTTAAAAAAATATGATTATTTGGCTCAGAATTACAGATAGAGGATGATGCAGGCTCTTGATGTGGGATTAAAATAGCTGTATCCATTTTGCTGGATAAGTCTTGCTGTAAAGAGACGACATAAGCCCATGGTTCCTCCTGGAGCCCTTTTTGGAAAAGTGTCTACTGCATCCAAATTTTCTGTGTGTTCTCTCTTAAAATTTACTACCAGGCTGTGCTTTGACTTGTCCTGCTGTGGTTTAAGTTCTGTAAGCCTCTTTCTGTACCCAATATGTGCAGAACTGGTCAAGAGACCAACTTTCAGACATGGGGAATCACCTAACCTGGCACAAATTAGACAGTTTGCCTTCATAGAATGGCTTCCCTGCTCTGAAAAGTTGATCTGACCTTATTTGGCTAATCCAACTCCCACAGAAACTTTTCCTGCTCCTTGATATCACATGACAAGATTTTTCTTCCTTTCCTCTGACCTCCTTGAAGGTAGAAGGACACATTGCTGCCAACCAGAGCCAGAGGCTGCACAAGCTGTGTCCATGTGAAAGCAGAAACATGACCTTCATCTTGTCCAGGACACTCTTACCACCTGCTCCCATTTAGGGCAGAGTTGTGATGATTTTGCTTCTTGGTCCTCGCTTCCAAGTCCTACCCTGACCTAGTGGGTCCATCCCTGCCCATGGCAGTGGTGTTAGAACCAGATCTTTAACACCTCTTCTAACCCCAACCATTCTACAATTCTACCCCGTGAAGGCATCTTGTGAAGAACCTGCTCAGGCATCCTCTGTGTAGGAATGCTCACTTAGAAATGTTGTTCCTTCAAGTTGTCAAAGCACTTTGGATTATAACACCGGATCCTCTCTGGCAACACTATCATTATTTAATCAATGAAGGCAGGCTTTTTCCTTCAGCAATCTGAAAGGAGGCACATTGAAGCAGAAAAGATGGGCAGCGTTCACTGCTGTCCATTGCCTAAAAGCAGCATCTTGCTTTGCCCTGAGTTTGGTGAAAGAAGGAAGAACTAACAGCTTAAAAAGCCAGCATGGAAAAAGGGAACTTGGCCAAGCAAATCCTGAAATTTCATGAAAAATCATCCATTTTCTACTCTCTTTCTTTTTGGTCCCATTTCTCTCCTGTAGTGGTAGCCCTATAATGTCATTATGAAGGACCAAAAAGAACCACTCCAAGGAAAGGGTAGCAAAATTCCTGTCCTCACAGTAGGTTCCACGAAATGGGACAGCTTACGGAAGAGTTCATAGGACAATTTAAGGGACAGATAATTGTGTTTATTAGCAATTTAGGACTAGGAAGATTGCTTTAAACTGAAAGAGAGTAAGTTTAGATTGGATATTAGGAAGACATTGTTTCCTGTGAGGATGGTGAGGCCCTGGCACAGGTTGCCCACCATCCAACCACTACAGAAGTAGTGGTTACTCCATCCCTGGAAGTGTCCAAGGCCAGGTTGGATGTGGCTTGGAGCAACCTGGGACAGTGGAAGTTGTCCCTGCCCATGGTAGGGGATGGAAACTGGATGATCTTTAAGGTCCCTTCCAACACACAACAGCCTGTGATTCTGTGATTTACAGAAAGAAGTCCCAGCCAAACATGAAGATGGTGTGAGTACTCCTCTATGAGAGAACAGAGCAGATTAGAATACCAAGACTTCTGAATAGGCACCTCAGCTAGAAATGGTTTCCAGTTAACAATTTACACTAGTGCATGATTTCACAGCTGTAGCATGATGAGAAAGAATAATTTTGGCAGGAGAAAGAAACAGCTGTGATTTTTGAGTGGGCTGAGGCTTAATTTTTATTTGGGATAAAAGTTGTAAAGTCTAGGGTAAAACATCTCCAGTGGGCACCCGAGACACCAAAGTTTATTGGGCCAAATCCTACACTGGTTTAAGTCTGCAGTTCTCCTTGCATTAAAGTTAAGCACAATGTCACACTGCAGGCCTGTTGTATCACTCAGAGATGTTAAATCCTGAATTATAAGCCCTGTGTAAGAGAGTTACAGAATAGCATTTATAAAACTTGAAGTCTCCCTTTCTTGGTGTCCTCTTGTATGTGTGTGGGCAAGTGGTTTAATTACAGTGCATAAAATGGAATGGCAGACAGAGACATCCAAATCAAAGAGCAAGCCCTGGCTAAACTTCATTAGCAAACATAAATGCAATAGGCACATCTTGTTTGTGACATGCCATGGTCCTTTCTGCCTTGGGTAATTTTACTCTATTCTCTGAAATTTGCATAAATGTAAATCAAACCATATGACTTGAGCAGGTTTGTGATAGGGGAATCATATGCAAAACTTCTTTCCATTAAATAATTCACTTCATGCAGCCTGACAATGTTACTGTGAAAACTGGGGAGGGTTGCATCTCAGACAGTGAGAGCCTTTATTTAAGAACAGTGGAGGGAGCCCTGCTCTTTAAATAAAAGACATT